CCCCGAACGCTTTTTGAGAAATTGGGGGGGGGGGGGAAAAAGCCAAGCTTTGGAAAGCCTACGTGAAACGACGCCAGCCTAAGGCCTCGTAAATCCCAATATTTACAGGACAACCCAGCTATCTGCAGGCACCTGGGAAGGGCAGGTTTAAGGCACTTGGCGCTAAGTTGCTTTTTGTAAATACAAGAGAGAGGCGAGCTACAGGTGCTCCTTTCGCACGAAGCAGGTTTCATTGGCGCTTCGGAGATGAGGGAGGTTTCTCCTCCACGGGCACAAAAACCTGGCCGAGGAAACCTCTCCAGCCCTCCTGCCGAACCGCAGGGCGAGAAGAACCGGCAGCTCCAGCAGCGGCGTCTAAGCGGTGGGCGACGACGGTGGGCAACTGTCGCCAACCCAAACGCGCGCGGATCACCTTCCGCTTGCGTTTGAAAATAATCCACAGCATCGCACGCTGCTGCTGCACGAGCGCTCAAGCCGGCGACGTGAGACCCCAAACGCCAAGCAGAGAGAGCGCGGCTTCCGCGCGATACCAACGCGTCCATCACCAGAACGCAAGATGCTTTCAAAGAGCAGAGTCTGAAGAGTTTTGGCAGCTAACGCTCCCCCCGCCGCGGTCCTTTCGCTTCCGCGTGCCTACGTACGTTGAAATCTTTTGCAGTTATGGCAATCGGATTCGACGGCACTCGGGACGCGAACGACAGAGCAGATGTCAAGACCTGCCGGCTGCGTGGGAAGGTGCAGAAATTTAAGTCACCAGCCCGACGGTGACTTTGCTTGAAATGCATAAAAACCAAGACGTACGGAAAACGCGACTTCTCAGTTGCTCGTATCGCCCTCAAATCTCACGTCTGAGCCACTGACTTCAGACAACAGATCTGTTTTATTTTGACGGCTTTCAGGGCACGGTACAGCCTCACTAACCTCCTCCCCCTGCCCCCCAAAAAATCTATTCGTCTTCCCTCGCTTTCAGTTGTCAACATCACAGAGAGACTACAGGAAAAACAGCAGCATGTTATGAAAATGAGGCGATACTATCGTTACCAAAATAAATCAACACCCATGCAGCGGGGCGGGAGACAGCAAACTTGGAGAGATGCCTGCTTTAGCCTTTTCTAGCGCGAGCAGCGATACTTCTTCAGAAAGACAATATTAGAAACCCTGACATGAAACAAAGCAACCTAAAACCAGAAACCAGAGCGTAACTACACCACAAAACCCACGGCTTGCCCAACTTCCGCTGCGATGACACTCATCTGCAAAATTAAAGGGTGAAGGCCTGAACCCAGCAGAGCTAATGGGAGCTTGGGAGTTTTGGGCACGACTGCTCATCCATCCGGCGAGCCCCGAGAGGCAGCAGAGGAGGAAAGCCAGAGCAAAGCCTAAAGACACGCATTACAGCAGCAGTTTCAGGGCCTTGAATTCACTGCGGCTACAGCAGCCGAAGCGGCAGCGATCAGAGGAGCTGATGCTGTCGGAGCGCCGGCTAGTCCCGACCTCAAGCAACGCTAGATGCAACGGTAAAAGTCACCCCCGCGTCCGTCAGCCTTCCCTCGACACCGGAGATGGGGCGAGAGCAGGAACCTCCCTGCGCCCTCCAAAGTGAGGTCAACAAGCCAAAAGCAAGTTTATTCCCACTGCCGACGTGCGACAAAAGTCATATATGCTGCACCTATGGCGGGTGCGAGCAAACTCAGGTGGAGTCGGCGGGGAGACGGGACTAAGCTAACTCCAACTACCCGCGTTTTCCACGGGCTAGCTAAAAGCGAAGCCCGTGCTGATCCGCTGATAGCCGCCAACCTGTTCACGTATTCAAGCACGTTGCTCAAATGCCTGGCGCAATCAGAAATTAAAGCTCAAAAAAGTTGCAAGCTCGAAGAAATCGCCTTCGTTGGGAAGTCGAGGATGAGCCTACAGTTCGCATATCACAGCAAGCAGGGTCTTGCATTATATAATTACACACTGGTTAATTATGCACAATGCGGCCGGAGCCCTCTCCACTTCACATGCAACGTTTCTGTCCTCCAGCGTTAAAGCGTATGCCAATATTTACTCACCATCCTTTTGTCAACATGAACCCAAAGGCCACATTTGCAAGCAAGTTTGCAGTCTAAAAAATTAAGCCCCCTTCCTTATAGCTACAAGCAGAGGGTGAAAAAATTATCCACAGCCTTCTACTAAACATGACCATCAAGGAGCAAGTTCTCTACCTCACGTAGCTTTTGAGAAAGAGAGAGAAAGTCAATATTGTGTTATGGTTTCGGACAAACATACGTGCTCTTTTAAGCAGGCAGAGCGCTGCAAAGCTGCCAGCCTGGCGTGCCGAGAGCCTCCGAGGCGGGCTTGCCCGTTTGAAAGCAAATGGGCCAAATGCGGATTATTTCGCAGTGCCCAAGGGCACGCCAAATATCTTTAAGATTTGTATTCAACGCCTGATCATCTTAAGGTTGCCCCCATCATAAAATGACCGAGCCTGTTAAATTAGCAGCCTCCTGTGCTGAATATGATCGATGCCATGCTGCGTGAATGGGGATATCCGAGGAATGCTTCGCCAGGAGAGGTCACGGGCTCCGGCAGCCCGCGGCTTGCAGCACGAACGTGAAGATGCCAACAAACCAGCAATTTATACCGGTATAATCAAACCCCCTTCGCAAGCGGAACGAGGTATACCAGTAAAAGCACAGTTTTGCTTCTACAATTATTTCTGATTTACTCTCAAAATAAAAGCAATCTCCATCTAGCACTATTTTCCCGAACCTTTGAGGACATCACTACAAAAAAAGTTTTGCTGCCGTCCCGGGCCGCCGCTTGCAGCGAACATGCAACAACAGAGGCTAAACCGTACTTCTGTTTTATGCATGCTCCTTGCAAGCGTTTGAAATTCATTATCTGATGGACTTGTAATAAGAAACCAGGGCAGAATTTCACAAACCGCACCGCTGATGTCACTGTTTTAATACCTCCAGCCCCGCGTTTGCCAACAGCCGGCCCCTCGGGTCCTGCCAGAAGGCTGCTCCCTGCCTTTCCCTGCCGCTCACCAGTTAGCCGTCGGCTGGCCCTTCCCTTGCGTTACCTGCCGGCGTTACTCACCTTCGAGCAGGTCTCTGGCCAGTCCTGGCTCTGCCCCCGTTGAGCGAACAAAATCCGACAGGACGATGTCCATATCCAAGGTCATGTGCTCCTGGAGCGCTCCCGGCAGCTGGGCTCGGCGGCGCCCGGATCAGCACCTCGGCCTCAATCTAGGAACGAAAGCGACAACGGCCCCAGCTCGCGTTACACAGTAGACAAGAATCAGCCCGGCCGGGCAGCTAGCCGGCGACTATCCGATAGCAGGTGCCTCCTGCCCTCCCCGGGGTGGGGGAGAAAAATAAATAAAATGAAACAAAATTAGCTTTGCGGGTTTTTAGGGATTGCCCTTTAGCTGATCAATAATTGCAACAACAACAAACAACAAAAATAGCAGTTATGCTGCTTTCTCCCTGCGTCCCACCACCGAGCCCAGCTTCGGGAAGCAGACCGCGCCGCGCACCCGGGGACCGCCTGCACCGCCGACGCTCCTCGTGAAAGGCGTACCCAAGGCCGAGCAACTCCGGGAAAAGCAATTCGCATTTAAAAACGCGCTCAGAGGAGCTTTTCCTTTCCAAAATAGTAAACAAGCAGCTAGCAGAATAAATGAGTTTGTTTTGGGAGCGGCGCGAAAGCAGAAAGTTTCGCTTATCTGCCTATCTGCGCGGCGAGCCTGGCATCCTTGACCTCTCCTCTGGAGGCAGGCAGCCCTTTTCAAAGCGTGCTGCTTACACACAAGGAGGGGGGGAGGAAAAAAAAAGTAAGGAGAAAATGCTTTAATTAGGAGCCTCTGCAAAAACAAAACAAAACAATCCTTTCAGGGCAAAAAAAAAAAAAAAAAAAAAAGAAGCCCTCCTCCTTTCAGACAAGCATAAATGCACCAGTCCTTGGGATAGCTAAATAATTCTCTCCTTCCCAGAAGGGAACAAAAAATAGCCAGGCCCAAGGTGTATTATGTAAAGCTTAAGTCTGAGCAGGTCCCAAGATTCAGAAAGCCACATGTAGGTGTGTGCAACCCAAAGCCTGATTTACTGCATTCCTCGAGGCAAAAAAATCAAGAGCGGCGCACATCCGCAGAAGTTTGGACCGGGTAAACGCTCGGCGAGATTTCTGCAGTTAAAGGGTTACCGTAAAAGTTCTGCTTCCAGGGAACAGAACCTGTCGGGGGGGGGGAAAAATCATTCTTAAGCTGCAGTTTGGCACACGGAGAAGAGGGGAAAAAATTTGCAAGGCTGGTTGACAGAGGTGTTGCCGCATTGAGAGCGGAAATTTCAGGCTTACATGGAAGACAAACTTGTTTGCTTTACTGGTGCCTTCAAAACGTCTCTTTTCGGGATTAATCCTAAAGACGGCCAAAACTCCCTAACGGAATGCAATTCCCAAAGGCAAATCCCAAACATGGGATTTTCTGGCTTTGTTGGCTTAATACCATTCTCACTGACTTTTAGGCTCACTAATCATACACTTATTAACTTCGCGCAGTGCAGAACAGCTGTTTAATAATCTTTTATCGCTGCAGCAATCTTGGGGGCTATCGTCACTTGAAGGCGATCCTAAAACCCGAGTGCACGCAGGCGTCCAGCAAAGACTTGGCAGGAGATCCTCGTTCTACTGCCGCCGCCGAGAGGTCCGCTCCTGCACCGCCGTCACCCCAGCCAGCCTCCGAGAGAGCTGCGGACACAGCGAACGCTGCTCCTAAAGGAAAAAAGCTTTAATTTCCTTCTGGTGGGTTCAGCATTTAAGGGAAAGGAAAGAAAAAAAAAAAAAACCCCACGTACGTAGCAAAGCTTGGCCTTTTGGAATGAAGAAAAAAGAGCAGCAGCAGCAGCACAGCCTACACCCGTTAACTCCTGGCATTTACAGTTCCTCAGAAAACTCCCTCACGCACAAAAATGTCAATATCTCAACACTGCAAGGCAAAACACAGATGGAAAACGCCGGGTCCAAAGACACAGCAATGAACTGTTAGAGAGATTTATCGCGAGGGTTCAGATGAAGAACCATCCTCTCCGTCCACGCTTGGTTTTTAGGTTTACACGCAGTACCTGCGGGCGCTTTCGTGGCCGGCCTAAAACCGTTTCGGAGGAGGAGTCTAATTCGTAAGTGAGCTCTCTTGCTACATCACACACAGAAACGCGATGAAATTACGTATCTAGGGTGAAAACCAGTCATTTCTACAGTCTCTGCGATACTGAGTCACTTGCAGGACATGCCAGCAGGCATTAAGCAAATGGTGCTACACGAATATTCACGATTTGATCTTCCTCAAAAATCCAGCCTCCCCTCTCCCACCACCGACGCAGCCGAAACGGATCCGTGTGGACGGCACCATCATAACATCAATTTACTCAAAAATCCTCTCTTTGCATTTAACCCAGATGCCACAAACACTCTCGAAATCATTCAGGAAAATTATTGGCTTTTTTTTTTTTTTTTTTTAAAGGGGTTTTTTTTTCTTTTTCCAATTTTGGGGAAAACTCGCATTCTTCAAAGAGACACATTAGAAGGACGCGAGCCATCAGCGAAGGCGATTGCCCCTACCTAGGGAAAAAACAGAGGAGCGTCTCGGAACGGGCAGCGCTTTCACCATTGCGCCGCCAGTGCCACATCTGGACACGCGCAAAACGGCCCCTAATTCCGGAAGATACAAGAATAACAAGTATCCTGTATACGATGGGCTTTTTTTTGTTGCTTTGGCCAACTCAGGTCAGAAATATAGTTTGCAGCACAATCCGTGCTACCACCACGATCATTCCCATGCATCATTTTCAACCCTGCCTGGTCACTCCCGTAAAGTTACAGACTGGAGTCGATTCCTAGCAAAGCTTCGCGCCTGCACGACCTTCTGCTTAGACGATGCTACACAAACACGTTAACGATTCTTTCGATATAAACTAGAAGAGGAAGGGGAGATAAAGGGGGAACAGGACTAAGAAAACACGTTGCTGGACGATCGCGGAGAGATGTCCTAAAAAGCATCCAATTCGGATGCGAAGCCCCCCTGGAAGGGAGGATGCGGGAAGTCTCTCCTCTAAATCACACAGAAGTGGTTTTAAGAGTCTTGCCTTTAATACTGTAGAGATTCGTGGGAGAAATTTGCTTCTTTGTCCCTGCAGAGCTAACGGTCTATCAGATTTTTCACATACATCTTGGTTAAAAACCTGAAACAAGCAATCGTATTTCCATCTTGCACTTTTTTTCATTACAGACAGTCCATTTCTTCCAGCTATCCCAGAAATACTTCATAAACAGTTCCTAAAGATACACTC